ACTGTGTGAGATAGCCTGATGGTATAGGAGATTGGGTAGGGTCATGGAGTCATATGAAGGGGAGGATGGGGGAGTATGACTTGGGAAGGGTATCAGTAAAAGGGTATAAGGGGCCATTCTAGGCCAAAGAAGTGGCCCCGGGTACACCCAGAATCAGGGTGATCCGAGGCACGGTGATAGCCCAGGTGCTATTAAATAAACAATAGCACAAGGGCTAGTGGAGAGTGCACAGATACGCGGTCCGTGGGGATGACAGCATTTAAATATATAGATAGCAAAGAGATCCCGGGGAAAAAAAGTAGTAAATATATTCCCAAACAATTCGGGGGTCCTGAGCTCGGGCGGCATTAGTCATGGTGGTGGACCAATAAGAAGGGAAAGAGACGGCATCCTATGCCACCAGAGCTGGGGTCCCCAAGCACAACCTAAGATATAACCTAGGTAAAACAATATAAGAAAGAAAAGTAAACTTTATATACGATTCAACAGGCTCTCAAGAACGTAGGAGAGACAAAAAGTTAATTCAATCGTCAGCTGACGGGAAAGCCAAAAGATAAGAGCTTTCCAAAATTGAGGACTTGTGTAGGGGTACACAGCGTTTGCATCAGAGCATGAGGCAGGGAAGATAAGAACCCTGGGAGGCGTCTTCAACGTTAGCTAAAAGATACATAACCTGGTGTACGTGGTAAAGGAAAAGTTGAAGAACGCGGTTCAGTCCATGGTATCTTGTGAAGAAGTGCCTGGTGAGGAAAAACGCCCTCGTTTGTGGATACTGAGCTGACCATTGGTGGAGCGTGTGTGTGGGATAAGATTTCTGCGGTGAGCAGGATGTAGATCTCCGTTTGGAGCCCTCTGATGGTGTTGTTGGAGAGTGTAGCTGAAGTTTCCGCAGGGTGTCCAGCAGGTCTTCGGGAGTTTTGCAGGTGTAGTCTTGAGTTTGATATCGGAACCGTACAGCGAAGGGGAAGCTCCATTTGTATGGTATGGCGCGTTGTTGGAGTGTTTGCAGATGGGGTTTCATAGCCCTGCGTTTAGTGATGGTTGTAGTACAGAGGTCCTGAAATAGCTGGTAGATATGGCCTTGAAATTGTAAAGATTCCGCGTTACGGGCCGCTTGTAGGAGTTGCTCTTTGGTGCGGTAAAAATGGAGTTTGGCTATAATGTCACGCGGGCCTGCCATCGGGGCGCCGTGTGGCCAATGCCCTATGAACCCTATCCATTTCTAGCCGTTCGATTGGAATGGCAGGCTCTTGAAATAGCGCCGTAATGGTTGATTGGACATCGACAATCGATTCCGAGAGGCCACGGATTCGTAGGTTTGAGCGTCTTGCTCTATTTTCAAAGTCCTCCAGGCGTGCGTGTGTGTAGCGTTGCATTTTCATCACGTAAGAGGTCGAGGTCATCAGTTTGTGTCTGTAATGAGGCTTCAAGATCGTCTACTCTCAGCTCTAGGTCAGCAGTGCGCTGTCCCAATTCGCGGATTTCTCTAGACAGTGTAGCGGTAATACGGTCAGAGGTTTCCTGCAATGCTTTATGTAACATCTGCTCAAAGCATGTAAGGAAGTCAGGGGGTGCAAGGTCAGGTGCTGAAGTGAGAACTGGGGTGTCTGGGTCAATATCAGACTCACCCTCTGATGCACTGGGACGACTGGGCTGTGTATCCTGCAGGGTGCCATATGAATTTGCAGCCTGCTTGCTGCTACGTGCTGGGGCGGCGGCCATCTTGGAGGAGGCCTTTGCAAGTGCCTCCTTAATAGATTTATGTTGTGGTGGGGCTTGGTGGCGGGGTACTCCCCTAACCATCTTATTTCCAGAGAGGGGGGTTGCCACTGCGATCGGAGCCCCCCCGCTTTGCCCTGCGGTGTTGTGCGGGCTCAGAATAGAGGTTGGTGGGCGGGCCTCCGCTCCGCTCACCGTGGAGACAGGGCCGCAGCTCCCTGCTTGCCGCCAATCAAGACGGGAGGGTCTGAGCGTGTAGACGGATGTCCACGGTGCCTCCTGCGTGGTTGTGCCGGCCGGGATCCGCGGACGGACTGCTGTGTCACCCGACGGGGAGACGGAGCTCTATCTCGGCATGTCCTCCCCGCCATGCGCACTCTGGGTTTTTTTTAATTCTAAACATTATCAATTCCGATACATTTTTTTTTTTTTGCTTATAAAATGCAACACATTGGTATAATGCATCTAGCTTCTCTAGTATCACCTAACAGTTCTTCCATCGTTTTAAAGGATAAGTTCACCTTTTGACCCAAAAATAATAAATGCACATTTTTTTGAAGGTAAAAAAATGTGCATTTATTATTTTTGTTTGCAGAAGCCTGTAAAGGAATTACACCAGTGATCGGCAGATTGCTGGTGCCATGCAGGTCTCCTGCAGATGTTTCAGTATATCTGCAGAATGTATGGGAAAGCAGATATACTGACAGGAAGATTCAATGAACTACCACAGTGCCCTACAGTGGACAGCGGCTGCAGCATTGGGAACATGTTACATGTTCCACTCTAAAAATAAGTGGAACATGTAACAAGTTCCCAAAGGTAAACTTATCCTTTAAGATGGAAGTGGCTAAATGTCTCCAGCCAGACCATGCATAACTTTTGTTTTCCTATAGAATTTTCTGGCAGTTAATTTGGCATTTACATACTTTACAACTGTTTAGTTTTTACTGTGATTGTCAGAAAAACACACTATATTGCCAATAGTATTGAGATACCCCTCCAAAATCATTGGATTCAGGTGTTTCAATTCTCCAAAAATCTCCATTGCCACAGGTGTATAAAATGAAGCACCTAGGCATGCAGACTGCTTCTACAGACATTTGTGAAAGAATGGGTCGCTCTCAGGAGCTCAGTGACTCCAGCGTGGTCCCGTGATAGGTGGCCACCTGTACAATAAGTCCATCCGTGACATTTCCTTGCTGCTAAAATATTCCACGCTCAACTGTGTGGAATTATAACAAAGTGGAAGCAACTGGGAACAACAGCAACTCAGCCACATAGTGGTGGGCCACGTAAAATGACAAAGTGGGTTCAGCGCAAGCTGAAGCGCACAGTGTGCAAAAGTTGCCAACTGTCTGCAGAGTCAATAGCTAGACCTTCAAACTTTGTGTGACCTTCAGATTAGCACAACAACAGAGCATAGAGAACTTCATGGAATGGGCTTCCATAGCAGAGCTGTATCGAAGCATTACATCACCAAGTACAATGCAAAGCGTTGCAGTGTAAAGCACGTAGCCACTGGACTCTAGAGTGACATATCAGGCTTCTCTATCTGGCAATGCAATGGCCGTGTCTGGGTTTGGCAGTTGCCAGGAGAATGGTACTTTGCCTGACTGCATTGTGCCAAATGTAAAGTTTGGTGGAAGGGGGATTATGGTGTGGGGCTGTTTTTCAGGTGTTGGGCTTGGCCCCTCAGTTCCAGTGAAGGGAAATCTTAAGACGTCAGCATACCAAGACATTTTGGACAGTTTCATGCTCCCATGGACTGGCCTGCCTGCCTGCATGGACTGGTCTTGACCTCAACCCGATAGAACACCTTTGGGATGAATTAGAGCAGAGACTGCGAGCCAGGCCTCCCCCCCGACATCAGTGCCTGGCCTCATAATGTGCTTCTGGAAGAATGGTCAAAACATTCCATAGACACCCTCCTAAACCTTGTGGAAAGCCTTCCCAGAAGAGTTAAAGCTGTTATAGCTGCAAAGGGCGGGGCCAACTCAATATTGAACCCTACAGACTAAAACTAGAATTTCTGGCTCACTTTTGTTAAAAGGAAATTAAAGCTCACATAAAGTTTTGCCATGCAGGGATTTCAGCTTCACAAAGCAGTCAAACAGAACTGCCAAGCTTCCTGGCTCTCTGGTCAGATTAACTACTGTTCTTTTCCCTGGTCTCCCAGACCATGGGGATATTCAGGCTAGATCAGCTTTCATAACAGCACCTTGCTGCATTGGCTCATTTCTGGCCTCTAGATATGGATTCCCGAAACACCCTAAGCTCTCATACTCCTCCTGAGACTTATGGACTCCCTCCAGTCCCCTGGACTCACTATCCACCTTGGCTTTCCCAGTTTTCTCCATACTCATGCAGCTGTCCTGACTTTCCCAGTCCTGTGGGCAATGAATCCCCTCAACATGGGGTGTCTCTACTGGCTGGAGCACACACCTGTCACCTCAAAGGACTGTCTCCACAATGGAAGCCCTGAGCTATGATCAGGCCTGGCTTATAAGGAACTTGCACACCTGTACACTCACACAGTCCACAGGTCTCTAACAAGACCCAGATACAGGATTGAAGGTTTTGTCCCTCTGAAGACACTTTGAAACCTTCAAGTTCCATACCATGATCCAAGATTACAAAAACCAACAAATACTGACAGGCCAATCTTCATTCAAAAGCAATGCTCTGGAGTTTTGCACTCTGCTCTAAAGTGAATCCTGTGTGTCTTTTTCCTATAATCACACAGTATCAAGGCCTAGCACTAGTATAGAATATATGAAAGCAACAGCTTGTGGTGATATCTGGTATGGGTTAATTTATATAATTAATGGAAATTTCAACTTTAAACAGCGCTGTTTAATTCTGAAAGCACAATTTCACTTTCATACTTATTACTTAAGCTAAACAATTAATTTTACCAGAGACAATTTGAAACTGTAAAGCAGACATCTTGCTTATTACATCATAGTGTGACAAATAGCACCATATGGTTCAGGGCTTGGTCTACATTGGGATATAATATATTTTTTGCATCTGTGGCGTTTCTTCAAGTAAATATTGGCTCCGGAAGAATAGGATGGCTTTGACAGAAACCACGATCCTAGTTTGTAAGTGGATCTTTGTGGTTGGCTAGTTTTGGGGCCCAAGCACAAGGTCCTACCTCCTGCTCCAGTCCTACCACAACACAATCCCTCCTGCTGAGGCCAACCCCTCCGCCATCTTGTGCCCTGCTCCTCGTCATATGCCTTGTCACGACATTCCCAGCCACAAAACTCATATGTCAGGAATGGACTCAGCACTGGTGGTGGGACTCACCTGCCGTGTGGGCTGCAGTACCAGGGCTGACCAGCAGGTTCTCTCAGCAGCCAGAAGCTCACTCCTGCAGTCAGCCAACACCTGGGGCTGATTGCAGGAGGTGTATTTAAGGAATGACCAGGCCTGTGATCAGTGCCTTGGTGTACGTTTCCCATGAGCCCCTGTACCTTGTATCCTGTGTTCCTGGTCCTCTGCCTATCTGATTTGTTGCCGAATCTGCATTGTTCCTGACCCTGCTGACCGTCTTCTGTTTAACCCCTGGCTTGAATGACCATCCTTCTGCCTGATCCTCTGTACCGTGCTGCCCGTGAGTTACTGAACCCGGCTTGTGACCCTGACCATTCTCTGCCTGATCCTCTGTACCGCGCTGCCCATGAGTTCCTGAACCCAGCTTGTGACCCTGACTATTCTCTGCTTGCTCCTTCGGTACCTCGCTGCCCGCACGTTGCTGACCTGGCCTGCCTGACTACGCCTTACGCTACCCAGACGATCCATCCATCCTGCACGGATCCAGCCATCCCTGCTCACACCTTCTGCCTCTTCACATCAGGCTTCCTACCTGCATATACCTCTGGCGGATCCCTCTACCACGAGCAGGTGTACTCAGGGGCCGCGACCTGGTTCCTGTCTGCTCCAAGTCCATCCCCACCATCAGGGGCCCTGGTGAATAAGCAGACTGGGACTTAGACTCCGCGCCCTGGGGAATCCTGTCCTGAGGACTGCTAGGGGTACTACGAGATGGTTGTTAACAGAACCATATGGCCGGCCTGACCCTTCCACCTCTCCAGCCCTGACTGTGCCTGTGTTCCTGCACATACTAAGATTAGTGGAAGGTTGGTTTTTTTTACTGTGCGTTGTATATTAGGGTAGCTAATAATAAATTATATTATTATATCATTCCTGAAGCCTGTTACTTCCCTGTGTCAGTCCACACATTTCTGGTCATAATCGGATCCCTGACATCATATCTCAAAAAATTAATGCCCACACAATAATTAGTTTCACTGCATTTTAATTATGTTTTTCAAGGATTGGCAAGATAGTCACATCACTAGGATATATATTCTGGAGTCACTTGACAGCCAATCACATAAAGTGGATGATCTGCCATAATTCCAAGTGAAAATATATGTAGCACCTCACAGTAATTTCCTTCTAGCCTCTCTGCTGCCCAGGCTTATCAGTACTTTCAGGATTGTGTTCTCTGTAGACACCTTCTAGCTGGGTATACCTCTCCCGGGAACCTGCCAGGGAAGCAAACTCATACAGGGATCTCCAGCCCGGCCTAACAGGCCTTTTGAAATCCACCCTAGCCCCCACCTTCTTAAGAGACAGAATGTCTACAGACGGCTACTCCTGCATACAGACCTACTCCACCTGGCTTCCTGCTCTATCCAGGGTCCATAGGTGTGTTGGTGACATGCTCACAGGTGTGGGGTGTTTGGCTTCAATGCCCCAAGACTGTGTATGTCCCTCCCCACCTAGCTTATATGTGGATGCTGACTCACCACTGACATTACCGTGGGAGGGCTTTACCTAATAGGGGCCTAACACCCAGTGTCACTATTTGCTGTACCAAACACTATTCTGGTACAGAGTCACCTAGTGGCTAACTGCATCTGCCTACAAGTTATTTTAGGCTCTGTGGCCAAGGGGAGTAAGGGAGGGTTTACTAACCAAAACTTTATGCCACCACTCCACACTGGGGTTTCATCTGGCTGAAGAAAATAAAGCCACAGATGAATTTAAAACATGAAGCTTCCAGTTTAAGAAGATGGTGTGATGAACGTAGAGGCTATTGTATTGGTTGCACCAGTCAAAGTGTCGCACCATCAACCATAAAAGTTAAAGAGCTAAAAGCAAAACATTTTTTGCGTTTTGGATAGAGTAAGGGAGGGTTACAACCCCGTCAGGTTTTTTTGGTATCTGCATCCCTCCGGGGAGATTTCTCTTCACTTCCTTCCGGGTGTTGACACGATGTGATTTCTGCCCAGTGCTCTGAATATCAATGTGAAGAAATTCAATGAAGCGCGGGTAAACAGCGGAAGTAACTATGACTCTCTTAAGGTAGTCAAAAATCATCTAATTAGTGACGCGCATGAATGGATGAACGAAATTCCCACTGTCCCTACCTACTATCTAGCGAAACCACAGCCAAGGGAACGGGCTTGGCAGAAAGAAGACCCTGTTGAGCTTGACTCTAGTCTGCAACTGTGAAGAGACATGAGAGGTGTAGGAAAAGTGGGAGGCCCCGCCCCCGGTGAAATACCATTACTCTTATCGTTTTTTCACTTACTCGGTGAGGCGGGGGGCAAGCCCCAAAGGGCTCTCCCTTCTGGCTCCAAGCACTCGGCGCAACCCACTCCAAGGACAGTGGCAGGTGGGGAGTTTGACTGGGGGGGTACACCTGTCAAACGGTAATGCAGGTGTCCTACAGTGAGCTCAGGGAGGACAGAAACTGTAGAGTTAGGACCACAGATTATCAGGGTGCCGTGACGTGGCTCTGTGGCTTACGTATGTATTTGCAAATGTGTGCTAACTAAATCCCTGTTAGACAGGTTAATTCGGTTGTTGGCAAGCTGGCTGGCAAGTTGCCCAAGAATATTGTTAATTTTGGAGGTTCAGTGGGTGCATTGGACACCCTGGCTGCCGTTGTGCTACATGCTGGGTGTCGGGGTGCGCTCCCATGACCTTAATGAGGGGTGGGGCTCCCTCAGGTTCACCTGCCCTTGTTTCTATCCATTTAAATGCATGTGCCTCCATTGTGAGGACTCTGGGTAGACCTGGGTAGGTGACCAGTTTTTTCTTTCCTTGCTATATAAGCCAGTTATAGACTTGGGTGGTGGCCATCTTTTTATTTGCAGAACAGAAACCTCCCGTGGACCAGAAGGGCAAAAGCTTGCTTGATCTTGATTTTCAGTATGAATACAGACCTTGAAAACGGGGTCTCACGATCCTTCTGACTTTTTGGGTTTTAAGCAGAAGGTGTCAGAAAAGTTACCACAGGAATAACTGGCTTGTGGCGGCCAAGCGTTCATAGCGAAGTCACTTTTTGATCTTTCAATGTCGGCTCTTCCTATCATTGTGAAGCAGTAATAGGGAACGTGAGCTGGGTTTAGACCGTCGTGAGACAGGTTAGGTTTACCCTACTGATGTGTTGTCGCAATAGTAATCCTGCTCAGTAAGATAGAAAGGTTCAGACATTTGGTGTATGTACTTGGTAGGCCGAAGGATGACTTTGAGCTGCGAAATTCTCTCCGGAGGAGATCGGGCACATCCCTGAGAAAGGGGAGGGCATGCACGGTGGGTGGGCCCGGGCACAGGGAGCAGTCACTGGGAGCTGGACCCCGGCCGGGGTGTGCTGGGATGGAAAGTATGGAGCCGCAGGGTGGAGGGAGATAAGACAGATCTTTATTTCTTTGATCACTTCAATCCCCAGGTTGTGACAGCAGAGAATTGGTGCAATCATCCCAATGTGATTGCTGGACAGCATTCTCCATAATGTATAATATTGTGGACACAGTGAATACAAAACCTGTTCTGGTCATGACTTGGTTATGGGCATATGTGATGAAGTCTTCCTAGAATTTGTTTTTCTGAGAATCCCGCACAACATTTTTATTACCTTTTGATCCTGCTGGGAAACCTGTTATTTCCCCATTCCTGTAACAGGACAACAAAGCCTTACTTTAGCAATACCTTTTAAGCAGTTACATCTACAGTTTTTTCTTTTAGAAAAATATTTAAACCACATGAATAAAAACTGTAGATATTGTAACTCATTCTTAATTGTTCTTCCTGATTTAATGTGGTTTTGTATACTTTACTTGCATTTGTCAATAAAAAAAGTTTAACAAGAACTTTAAGGGCGCCATTCTGGTGTTCTGGTGTTCAAAAGACTCCTACTACCTTTTTCCTCCAACTTTTCCCTCATATGTGTATTGTGATAGGCCTGTCTTCCATAGGCTTGCATAGAATAGCACTGATTGGTAAGCATTTCTTTTCCCTCTCTTCAGATCTGACTCATCCTTTCCAGGATTGGACAATTCAAATACCCTTTTGTTAACAACAAAACCCTTTGAAAGGAAAATTACATATGCAAAGGGTTCACAACCTTTTTGGATGAAAAATGTAAGCACAGGTTGGACGGGGTCTCCATAAGTCAAGGTTTCCATGCATTCCTGAAAGGGTGGTCACTCTCATTTCATTTATAAATAAGTGGATTGGTATTCCAGCATGACAATGACCCAAAACACACGGCCAATGCAACAAAGGAGTGTCTCAAGAAGAAGCACATTAAGGTCCTGGAGTGGCCTAGCCAGTCTCCAGACCTTAATCCAATTGAAAATCTGTGGAGGGAGCTGAAAGTTCGAGTTGCCAAATGTCAGCCACCAAACCTTAATGACTTGGAGAGGATCTGCCAAGAGGAGTGAGCCAAAATCCCTCCTGAGATGTGTGCGAACCTGGGGGCCAACTCCAGGAAACGTCTGACCTCTGTGATTGCCAACAAGGGATTGGCCACCAAGTACTAAGTCATGTTTTGTGATGGGGATCAAATCCTTATTTCCCTCATGAACATGCAGATCAGTCATCATTTGTTAGACGCATTTCTTTTGAATTTTGTGTCGCTATTCTGTCTCTCAGTGTTACAATACACCTACCATTCAATTTTTTGACTGATCATTTCTTTGTGAGGGGCGAACATTCAAAATCAGCCGGGGAGCAAATATGCATTTCCTTCACTGTATGTGGAAAACCAAGAGATTTTGGTCCCATTTTTCAGATAAACTAACCTAGCCCCAAACAGTCTGTTATTTATAGAAATTTCCCCTTGGCAGCAATTCCCAACTATCTTCAGAACATGGCGGTATCAGAAGATATATTGTACACCCACCCTGATCAAACTCTAACCAAAATATATTCATAATTACAATATTTAGATCTGGTAGCCTCCCTGGCGGTATTCCCGAGTGTAGCTCGGGGTAAAGTTTCAGTACCACAAGCAGTAACCCCGAGCTACACTCGGGAATACACTGCAGTGCTGCTCCGGGATCTGTTCTTCTCTTACCTTGTCCTGCGCTCCCGCGATGTCCCTCCTGCAGTGTCCCCTGTAATGTCCTCCGGCCGATACCGGCATCTGTCTTCTGGGTTCCGTACCCTGCGACGTCAGGACATACGGGGGACGGAACGGCGGGAAATTTGAAAATGACAAAAAGTGACATTCACTAAATACACTAAAATAAGATAGTATAACATTACTGTATCAAATAATTTCACATACATTTTGTCCCGACTGCTTTGTCCGGCGCTCTGCCTGCATTTTTACTGTTCTTTCTGCCTGGAAACTGAGAAACGTCCATGGCGTCCAAAAAGTGTCCCTTTAGGTCAAAAAGTGGTTTTAGACCGGCTAGAGAACAGCGATAGTAAATCAGAACCACTTGCAGAATTGAGTGATAATGATTCGTGGGGGAAATTCCTCATCAGACACTGAAAACGATTCTGCGACTTTGCTCAGCGATGTGCGAACTTAGCGCTATATTTCAAATTTCAGTGTTTTTGGTTTGATTATATTATTGAATTCAATGTATTATTATTATATTATTATTTTTATGATAATTTATGATTTTGCATTTCAAATTTTAACATTACCGGGATGTTTACTAGACTCTTGTTCGGACAGATTTCAGTGAGTTATTCCTAAAAATTACAGGCCTACAATAAAAAAATACATATTTCTATGCAAAAAAATGTACCGCTTTGAGCACAGAAATATGGATATAATCAGACCACTAGGGAGGTTAATGAAGATTGCACATAATCCAATCTGTAACACTAATCCATTGCACTCTGCCTGTCTTTCTTCTTCCGCTCTCTACGGGGTAACTGAGCTCTGTGATGACTCCCAAATAATATTTTGGCCAAAAAGGTTGAGAAGTACTGCCCTAGCGGTTGTAAATCAACACAGAAATAATCTGAGTGATTTGTATCTGCTATAAATCTTTTCTATAAAGCTCCCGGTCTGACATGGCTCTTAGAGACAAGAAAAAATCATGTTTTCTATTCTCTCAGTACAGTAATACCTCGGTTTAAGAATTTAATTCGTTCTGCAGGATTGTTCTTATAGCGAAAAATTCTTAAACCGAAACGCCATTTCCCATAGGAATGCATTGAAAACCAATTAATCTGTTCCGGAGATCAGAAAAAAGTAAACACTAATAAATACCGCATGAGTTATTTTATCAAGTCATGCGGCATTTTAGTAGTGACAACCATGTGTTAATATTTCACTGTCATCTGAGTTCCCCACTGACAGCTGAATGTAAAAGAATTGCCGGCGATTAAAAAAATAATTTAAAAAACTGCGTGGGGTCCCCCTTCACATCCATACCAAGCCCTTCGTGTCTGGTATGGATTTTGAGGGGAACTCCCACGCCAAAATTTAAAACAAAATGGCGTGGGGGGTCCTCCCCAAAATCCAAACCAGACCCTTTTCAGAGCATGCAGCCTGGCAGGTCAGGAAAGGGGGGGGGGGGGGGGGGGCAAACATTATTTCTTTTTAGTTTCCTAAAAGAAACAACATTTCCGTTAACTTTGGGGAAAGTGACAGCTAATTCTGTGACCGCTTGAGCTATAGTGAAGAAAAAAAAAGAGCCAGCAATTGCATTTAACCTCCTTAGCGGTATTCCCGAGTGTAGCTCGGGGTAAAGTTTCAGTACCAAAAGCGGTAACCCCGAGCTACACTCGGGAATACCATGCAGCGCTGCATAGGGAGTCCCTGCAGCACTTACCTTGTCCTTCGCTCCCGCGCGATGTGTCCCCTGCAGCGTCCCTGGCCATCTCCTCCGGCCGATGCCGGCATCCAGCTTCCGTGTTCTGGTCCCTGTGACGTCGGGACGTACGGGCGCCGGAACCGGAGGGAAATTTTGAAATTTTTTAAAAATGTCATTTTTTTAAAATGATTATTACATAGTAAAACATTGCTGTTTCAATGAATTTCACATACATTTTGTCCCTACTGCTTTGTCCGGCGCCCTGCCTGGATTTTGACTGTTCTTTCTGCCTGGAAACTTAGAAAAGTCCATGGCGTCCAAAAAAGCGTCCCTTTACGTCAAAAGCAGTTTTAGACCGGCTAGAGAACAGCGATAGTAAATCAGAACCACTTGCAGAATTGAGTGATAATGATTTGTGGGGAAATTCGTCATCAGACACTCAAAACGATTTTGCAACTTTGCTCAGCGATGTGCGAACTTGGCGCTATATTTCAAATTTCAGTGTTTTTGGTTTGATTATATTATTGAATTAAATTTATTATTATTATATTATTATTTTTTATGATTATTTATTAAATTATAATTTATGATTTTGTGTTTCAAATTTTATCATACCCGGGATGTTTACTAGACTCTTGTTCAGACAGATTTCAGGGAGTTATTCCTAAAAATTACAGGCCTACAATAAAAAAAATACATATTTCCATGCAAAAAATGTACCGCTTTGAGCACAGAAATATGGACATAATCAGACCGCCAGGGAGGTTAATGAAGATTGCACATAAACCAATCTGTAACACTATGATTATTTATTAAATTATAATTTATGATTTCGTGTTTCAAGTTTTATCCTCCCGGGATGTTTACTAGACTCTTGTTCGGACAGATTTCAGTGAGTTATTCCTAAAAAATTACAGCCTACAATAAAAAAACTACATATTTCCATGCAAAAAAATGTACCGCTTTCAGCACAAAAAATCGGAAATAATCATACCGCCAGGGAGGTTAAAAATCAGCACTGACATACACTTCATATTGCGAAAAAAATTCATACAAAATTTGTAAACCGAGGCATTATTTTCAGTGGATTTTCATTTGTAAACCGAAAATTACTTTAACCGAGGCGTTCTTAAACCGAGGTATTACTGTATAATGAATTATGGGATTTGTGTCTGTTGCTTTCTACTGATAAGCTGTAATTTTATAGACCAGAAATAATTAACACCAGTTTCCTGTTACAGTTAATAGTAATTTTCTTCTTTTTTTGCAGTACTTTAGGTTATACTATTTATCTGCTGCAGTGATGTATAAATGGTGAACACTTTATATGCGGGATGTTTACTGTAGCACAGTTTCTGCCACAATATAACTAAAACCTGTCCCCAAAGTAGCCTTGAGCACTGCTTTGGAATGGTTCTAATTATCCTTCTCCTGCCTGGACACTGGCTGTTAAAAATTCGAAGGCAGCAGTTTCTCTGAAGTGGACCAACAGCTGCTGGGCCTTAATGTATCATTATTTCCTTGACAGTTAGTTAAAATTATTACGAATTAAATGTAATGTCTTTCACAATAAGCAAATGGGCGGTCAGAGAATATCTCACATATCATTGGGCATATGTTCACACTGTATGACAGTCTCCAAATACATATCAAATTATATCAGGATTGCCTGTGTTACTTGTTTCACAAATATATGTTGTAAAATGCTTTGGATGGTTGCTAGAAAGTGACAGTATATTGTAACGTCACGATTCCACTGCTGCTGGATAATATAACAGCTGGAAAGAATTTCGGAAAAATGATGTATCAGGTGACAATGATACGATCATCTACAAATATATGTTGCGCTCCTAAATACTTCTCAATAAATAATAATTCAATTATTACCATTAAATTAATTCAAATTATGATACAAATAACTAATAAAAGTGTATAAATACCAAAAAATATTTAAATAGATAGTTTCAACTAATCAATCTCCTCCAAATAAATATCAAAATAATTTGGAGGAGATTGATTAGTTGAAACTATCTACCGTATTTGCCGGCGTATAAGACGACTTTTCAACCCCTGAAAATCTTCTGAAAAGTCGGGGGTTGTCTTATACGCCGGTATACGGCGAGCCGGTGTGTCAGGGCGGCACTTTTTCCAGGGGCGGTGTCCTCCAGCGGACACTAAGTACAGGGGTGGGCAGAGGGGCTGCTGTACCTTACCTGGCTCCGGTCCCACGATGATCCGATCCAGGAAGCGCGGCTGCTCCTTCTTTCAGTTCGGCCGCTCGATGGTCGCGCGGCCGCTCGGCTCCGCCTCCTCACCGGTGATTGGGCGCCAGCGCACACAGGCGACCAATCACCGGCGAGGAGGCGGAGCCGAACGGCCCCGCGAAAATCAAGCTGCCAAACTGAAAGAAGGAGCAGCCGCTCCTCTCCCCCACTGAACATTCCGAACTGATGGGGCACTATTCCTCCTCCACACTGACACCAATGATGGGGCACTATTCCTCCTCCCCACTGGCACCAATGATGGGGCACTATTCCTCCCCCACTGACACCAATGATGGGGAACTATTCCTCCTCCACACTGACACCAATGATGGGGCACTATTCTCCCCACTGACACCAATGATGGGGCACTATTCTCCCCACTGACACCAATGATGGGGCACTATTCCTCCCCCACTGACACCAATGATGGGGCACTATTCCTCCCCCACTGACACCAACGATGGGGCACTATTCCTCCCCCACTGACACCAACGATGGGGCACTATTCCTCCCCCACTGACACCAAAGATGGGGCACTATTCCTCCCCCACTGACACCAACGATGGGGCACTATTCCTCCCCCACTGACACCAATGATGGGGCACTATTCCTCCCCCACTGACACCAATGATGGGGCACTTTTCTCCCACTGATACCAATGATGGGGCACTATTCTCCCCACTGACACCAATGATGGGGCACTATTCCTCCCCCACTGACATCAACCATGGGGCACTATTCCTCCTCCCCACTGACACCAATGATGGGGCACTATTCCTCCTCCCCACTGACACCAACGATGGGGCACTATTCCTTTCACTGACTAATGATGGGGCACTATTCCTCCCACTGATACCAATGATGGGGTGCTATTCCTCCCACTGACACCATTGATGGGGCATGAGTCCTCCCACTGATACCAATGATGAGGCACTATTCCCCCCACTGACACCAATGATGGGGCATTATTCCTCCCACTGACACTAATGATGGGGCACTATTTCATCCACTGACACCAATGATGGGGCACTATTCCTCCCACTGACACTAATGATGGGACACTATTCCTCACACACTGACACTACTGATGGGGCACCATTAGTGTCAGTGGGAGGAATAGTGCCCCATCATTGGTGTCAGTGGGAGGAATAGCACCCCATCATTGGAATACCATACTGAAATACCATGCCATATTGAAATCAAATCTGATGTTTTTTCATTTTTATTTGGTGTGCGTTGGAAGAGGGGT